GGATATACAGCGGTCACAGAACATCTTCGCATTAGGCTCATTATCATCTCACTGTCCAGTGTGTGTTGCTGATGATTGTTTTCCACATTAGAAACATTAGCTGATGGATTTAAAGATGAACTTTGATAAAGATGTCTCACACCAAATGTTTTCCTTAATTGAACAACAATCTCTCATGAGTGAACAGCTTCATTTAAATCAAGTTTAAATTCATTTAAATCAAGTTTAAATAACAGTTAAACTGCTAATGGTAATTTATATTTCCAGTTTATGATGTGTTCATGTAAACTCTGTAATCTGTGAACTTTCTATTTTAATTTTTACTGTTATTAAAATGATTAAAAATACTCAAAAGGGTAGAAATGTGAAATTTGTGTTTCACCTGATTTAACCTCAGTTTGCCGTTGGTCTGTAGCTGTAACTTACTTGAACTAACGATCAGATTTAAAACAAACTAACTGTAAACTGTGTTCAAGGTCATGACTCACTCTGTGTAAATAAATCTCAAAAAATCTGTTTGATTTATTTTTTCACAACGCCCACATGAAAAAAATATCTGCTGTGACTGATGTTTGGCTGTAAACTGTCTCAACGTGTTTAAACTCAAAGATCCAAAGATTCTGTGATTTCCTGCACTAATAATATGCATAAAGACTTTTTTATGTTCTTAAATAAATATAGCCTAGAATTCTTTTTCTACACATATTGTACGGTGTGATGGTGACAAAATACTTGTGTGCACTTTTATTCTATTTATAAAGAGAGTTGAGTCAACAAATTCACAATGTTTATGGAAACACACACCTCACGACTTCTGGACTCCAGCTCAGCCTTCAGGTTCTCTGCTGTTTGTTTCACATCCTGGAGCTTTTTGCTGATATCAGTATTCCACCTCCCCTGCAGATGAAATGTTACATTTAAGACACAATAATGAAACAAAACCAGAGTCAGATTAAAGCTGCATTATGTAAATATAAGGGAGCTGATGTAGCATGATGCTAACAACATTAAGTGTTGTGTGATGATGTCAACAATCTTGCAGTGGTACGATTTCAAAGTTGTGTTTGGTTAATGACACACAAACTGCTGCTGGACAAAACTGCAGGAATATAAGTGCACAGGTCTGTGATCATTGGGAGGATG